AAAAAAAAAAATTTTTGATTATTTGTTTCACTGATCTCTGAAAATAAAATAACCAAAGTGAATCTTCAGTTTCAACAGTGCACTTGAATATACTTTATCATTTATGTCTGTGGAAATCTCTAGAGCCAAATTTGTAAAGATTTCATTTCCTCTCCTAATGTCATTGGCTATTTCTCTATTACATTAAAACTAAGTAGCCATAGTAACAATGATAAAAGTACACCCTAACCTAGCCTCTTAGAAAGACTACTTATGAGTGGGAAGTGCTGGGCTCTGGACTCTGTCAGACATCAATTTAAAATGTAGCTCCACGATTTACTAGTGGTATAAACTAGGAGTTGGCAAAATGTGACCGGTGGGCCTTTGGAACCACACATTCTACATTTTTAAGTGGTTAGAAAAAAATAAGAATAATATTTTGTGAAGCATGAAAATTATATGAAATTCAAGTTACAATGGCCATAGAGCTTTACTGGACACAGCCATGCTCATTCATCAACATACTATGTCTGCTTGCATGCTATTATATCCAAGTTAAGTATGTGCTTACAAGATAATAAGGATATATCATCATAAGACAGCCCCAGAGAAATGAGGACAAAATTATAATCAAGATGTAATATTTGTATAGTGTAACAGCTTTTAAGCAAGAACTTTTATTTCTGTGCTCTCTTCTTTGGTGCTGGGCCGTGAGATTATGTGGTGCAGATCATGTACTGTTTCACACGGATACTTCAACTCTTCATATGTTCATGTCATGTGCCTCTAGCTAGATTATAAATTCTGACTACACTTCATGGGATTTTCGCATTCACTGGTGCCTGCAAGATGCTCTGCTATTAATTGTCTGCAGCATTCTTCAAAGGAAATAGAAATATAACTAATCTCACTTAGGATGCTTTACTTCTCTGTTCATTATGCAAGGAAGAAGTCTCACAGGTTTCTTCAATTTCTCTTTCACTCACAGATAATTCCCTTCAGATCCACAGCCCCTATACAAGTCTAACATGGTAAAAATCAGAAGATTATAAGGACTTGGGAATTTCATGAGCTAAGTAAATGTACAGGTTACTAGTAGAAGACAGTAAAAATCTGGTTCCTAGAAGGTCTTGCCAATGATGTCTTAAGTGAGAAAATTTCTCAAGTAATTGTGTTTTCCAATCCCCTTTCAAAATATTCTTAATTCAGAGATTCAGCAACTATACCTTAAAGGTATTATCAGTTCCGCACCTAGAATTGAATGCTGATGATCAGGGACAAGTTCACAGGAACAGAATCAGAATGGCAAAAGGACTGAAAACAACACAACCATGTGAGGAATGGTTAAAAACCTAGAGACATGAGTACCCGCAGAAGAAAATAGCTATTTAAAGAACATTTAAGGGTTCCTGTGTAGAAGACAGATTTGATTTGTTCTGTAATAGGTGTGCCACTTTGACCATGCAAACTTGAGATTTGAGAAAATATCAAAGATCCTATTACTTTGGTTATGTTGCCACGAAGATTGTAAAATAGGAAATTACTTTGGAATAAAGAAAATTTCCCCTCATCTCAAAAAAGGAAAAAGAATCCCAACTTTCTTGAATAAAAGATGGATTTAACCAGAAATGTCTTCATTTTTAAGACTT